CCGGAGTGTCTATTTACACTAAGTGCAAATAGCCCGCCTTGTTGATAGAGGCTATTTACAGTAGCTCCACCCACAAATGTGTTATAGGAATAGTCAACACTATAAAAGACAGCACTTAGTTATGTCTTTCAGTGGCGTAGATGGTAAAGCGCGCACCGTGGTTCTTTTGACGCGATCGACCCGGGTTCGAATCCTCCTTTTACCTTTTTCAACAAGGCGGGCTATTTGCACTTAGTGTAAGTAGACACTCCGGGGAAAAAAAATCCATAGACGTGTGTAGCGATATGACAGCACCCAAAATACTATCAAACACTCCAACGCAGCTCCATTCTTCGTGAAAGATGGATAAAAAGGTACACAGGAAACAAAAAGCTCGAAAAATGATATACGACCAGCCAAATGCTGGCCAAATCACAGAGATGCCGATTCGCACGGGACTAATATTATCACAGGACCTCGTTGTTCGGCGAAATATGGTAGGTCATTTGCGGGGGAATTTTTACTTTACAAATTACAGACATGGCTGATTCGCACGGGATTAAGATCACAGACAACCTCTGCAATTATTACAAATGACTGGAGGTCACCAGGTAATACTAATCCCGTGCGAATAGGGCTATAGTTACTTAATAATGCTTTTGGGAAATGCACCTCTGAGCAGCAACAATAATTTGGCCAAAAAAAAAACATATTTTGACATTTGGGCTGGACAGGAACAAGTTTGGGGTATTTTATTAAAACAGATAAACTGCCACAGGTAAACAGTCTACTGGTTGTCAGTGCGCTCATTGGCATCTCTTTTCGAGTGAGAGAGGTCCATTCCTTGAGCTTTGCCGTGCAGACATATTCTGCAGCCCATGATCATGAGGAAAGCCCTACGGAAGGATCGGTTAAAGAAACCATAGAGGAAAGGGTTTAGGGAGGAGTTGACGTACCCTAACCACAGGAACACATCCCATATCACAGCAGCAGTCCCGTACTCAATGAACGGGTCGACGATATTAACAGTAAAGAACGGCAACCAGAAAAGAAGGAAAACCCCCATGATGATGCCCAGAGTTTTGGCCGCTTTTCTTTCCCTCCTTATAGAGTTGCGATGTTTTTGTTTCTTGCTCGAGTCCTTGCCCACACCTGCCGCCATCTGCGCCTCCATCGCGCTTATCTGCATGGCTTGCCGCTTTGCCGCTTTGTAGATCTTCCAGTAGGCCACCAACATGGTCACCATAGGCAGGTAAAATGCAACAAGGGACGCCATAACGGCATAAATGCGGTTCACCAAGAAGATGCACATGTTCTCAGGCAAAGGAACGTCCATGCCAAGCTTGTGCAGCCCGAGGAGGATTGGGCCGAAGGAGATGAGGAAAGGAATGGCCCAGCAAACCACAATCAGCAGACCCACACGTTTACGGGACATCTTAAATGAATACACCAAAGGGTTGCAGACGGCGTAGTAGCGGTCAAAAGCGATGCAGCTCAAATGGAAGATGGAGGCCGTGCAGAGCATAACATCCAAGCTGGAGTGAAGATGACAGAAGTTTGGGCCGAAATACCAACATCCTTCCACTGTTCTGACCATACTGTATGGCATAACCACCAGCCCCACCAGGAAGTCAGCAACAGCCAGAGACATGACGAAAGAGTTTGTAGGGCACTGCAGCTGTTTGAAGTAAGCAATGGCGAGAACCACCAGGAAGTTGCCAACAACTGTGCAGACGATCCCTGCGATGATGAAGACATAGAGGGCGACTCGTGAACCGGAGCTCCTCAATGTGGCACAGGGCTCGAAATCAGAGTCGAGTGAAATGTTGCTCCATTCCGAGGAGTTTTCCATGCTGTTCAACCTGGTGATAAACGAGACACATGCATTCAAGATTTATTCCCATGATCATTGATAAATGCTTTGTCTGATCTCACAACATGCTGTGACCAAGAAGAAAAATGCTTGTTCGAGATATTCTCCAGTGTTGTCTAGTGAATAAACTGCCATACTGATATATGAGAACAAAAATGTCTGTGTCGTTTCACCACACTATAATAATCCCTCTATTTCACCATTAATATTTTTGGTAAGTGACAACTGCCCCTGAAGCTCCTGTAAGGCTGGGAAAGCAGAACAGACTGGGAAACCAAAGCCAAATCTGCAATGAAAACAATATTTTGGATCCTTTACTTCTGGATATTGGCCAAGAATCATAAAAAGCCCCTCAACTCGACCTTGTCTCAGGAATTGTATCCCTGCAGCATGCCCCATTGTGACTTTCGGGATTACACTTAACGTGCATACCTAAAATGTCATCAGCATTGTTAAAGTTTAACTCGGTCCCTATTGGGATGTGAGCAAAAACACGAGTTTGAAAGCATGCAATCTGACACATTTGTTTTCGCTATTGGAAACAATTCAAAGGGATGGTGTAATGTGTTGCATAATTCAAGAAATTATAGAAATAGCATATTTGAGATGTAATGAAGAAAATTGCACTTCCATTGCACATTCTTCATGTAAAATGAATTCTCTCAGATCCAGTCATGCGGAAGAGAGTGTCAGTTCCCAGTGACTGACAGGCATGTTTCTCAGCCCGTGACAGAACCTGAAAACAACATCTGGGGATGTTTGACGGAGAGGAAAAAGGAAGGATAGTGGAAAAAAAATGGTTTTAGTTCAGTAATAATACAAATTTAATTACCACCAATGGGACCGAGTGACAGGGAAAGGCAATGCTTAACATTTTGCTCTTCCCTACGCTATCATTTAAAAAGTCATTTTATCATTCTATATTCTAATTATAATTTCATTTTCTTTGCTATTTCTTAACTATTTATTGACTGATTATGGATCTATATAATAGCTCCTGTGTGGATATCAGCAATTATGAAACTTTTGTTTTCTTTCTTTTTTTATGACACAGTTGGTGTTTGCAATCGTCAAGTCACTTTTATTTGTATTCTGCTTCATACAATACTAATTGTTTCAAAGCAGCTTCAGTTTGGTTCAACTATTTAAAGTTATTTAATTATAAAATAAGTTCTATTCAGCTATATGTAGCTCTACTGCAGATAACAGTAATACTAATCTATTGATTGATGTAGCAAAAATGGTCAATTAAGAAACTAATTTGATTCAGCTATAAAACAACTACAGAAAACAACAGTGCCATCGTTCAGGGTGTAGTGATTTTCAGTGTTGGGTTGCCATCTTGCTGATGTTCACTACAAGGGCAATTCAGTTAAAGTTTTATTGCAACAGCACGATAAGAAATGTTCACCCAAAATAAACATTCAGTCTTTATGTATTTATTTCAGTGAAACAAAAAAAAACTGTTATGCAGCTCTTTCCATATAAAATTGGAGTTCATAGTGGCCATCTCCAAAAACAACATGAAACACCATAAAAGTATTATAAACTTGTCCCACATGGATCTTTTAAACCCATCCATGAGAATTAGTGCTGTTGTAGTTTCAATTATGATTGTCCCTTGACATTTTGAATGTGAGCGCACAAGTTGTATGGACTAATTATTATTATTACTATTATTTTTCTTGTTGTTGGTGCATCTTGACAAACGTCAGCTTATATGAAAAACCTGCATAAAAATACTTTTGAAAAAAAAAAAAATCATAATTTGTGTTCCACAGAAAATATAACAGCATGTATTGGTTCACAACGAGAGTAAGCAAACTGACAACATTTCTATTTAGCAGCGAGCTATTCCTTGAACAAATATAATATCCATATAATTAATAATATAAATTGTGCTATGTATTGTAATATATTGAAGATCATCTACACAGTGTCCCTGTGACAAAATGTTTATTTAAAAATGATTGGGTCTGAAGATTGACCCTAAAAATAGAGAAATGGCAAATGACCTAATGTGCATGCTATATTGCACATTATATTGCAATTTGCACTCAGTAATAAGGGGAACTGTAGAAGAAACACTCGGCTGCTTAATGAAAATGATACAATTCTTCCTGTTCCTTTGAGCCATTTGCAGTGTTACAAAATGACCGATCTGGAAGGTCAGGATTGCAGACACTGCTTAGACACGCTCACAAACACACACTGTGATCCCTCTGACTGCTCAGACACAGCAGGTGAGCTTTAAAAACATCCTGCACAGATATTCTTGCAGTAAGAAGCTGTGACCATCAAGACAATTTTCTGAGAGCAGCTTAAAGATACTTGTAAAGAAACATATTGTACATGTGTCTGCGTGTGTGGTCGTTCCTCGTCTTAAACACGACAAATTAAACTCTACCTCACACTTCACAACTGTAAACACTGACTAATTCTAAGTGCATAATAAAGATATGGGGCCATTTTTGATCCTGTTCATAAAGACAGGCAGACCATAACAAAGCGCTCAGCTGTTCCACAACAAAAACTCTCTCCAGGTTATCATGTAGGACAATACCTAAGCAATTTTTGTACTTCAGCTTAACTAACCACTACTGGAGGTAAAACAAATGACTTGCCATTCATCCCTAAATCTTACATTTAAACCAAAGCCACTGGAAATCCAACATGATTGTGCTATCGGTTGCTTTGTTTGTTATTCTTGAACAAAACCCATCTCTGATGCGTTCCAAGCGAAACAACTGACCCTTATCAAATCGCTGCATTCTGCCAACTCACTTAAAATATGTATTTACTTTACTTTCAATGAATTGGATGGAGAGACTGGACAGGGCAGGAATGTCCATTTGAGTCAGATATATTAATAATCTACCAAAAGCAGGCTGCATAAAACTCACCTTCCCACACTAACGAGGAGACGGACAGACCTGTCAGTCATAAAGGGGAACACTGAGGGGACATTCAGGGTTCACGTTAATGTAAACTAAAAAAGTTAAAAAAAGAACAATGCTGGAGTTTATAGACATACCAGATTTTAACACTTAAAGACTAAAAATATATGTAAAAAGGTAAAAACCAAATTAAAAAATCAAATGTAAAGTAAATAATAATAATAGTAGTAGTAAAATATAAGTATTTATTATTATTATTATTATTTATCATTATTATTATTATTACATATGCCATACAAGTACTGGACTTATGGGAGAGCTACAACAACAACAACAATAGTAATAAATAAAACCATATTGTTTATTATTATTATTGTTATTATTATTGTTATTATTGCTCTTCCATGACTTGTAAGGTATATTTAAGCATGTTACAGTCACAATCACAATTTTACAGGTCACATTAGAGATCTACTCACCTAAATGACAGTGTTTCGTCTTTCTTTACAATGCCATGTTTAACTGATTCTCCTTGTTTCCTCCATGTCTAATCAACGGCAGCTCCACTGGTGAGGTGAGGATGGTAAAGTGCCCGTGTGGGTGTTTGTGTGTGTGGGTGTTATTTTGAATATGCCACATTAATAAGCTCTAAAACAGTCCTCTTGATCAGAATGTAGGCGGGGCATGTGTGTGCCAGTGTGTTGGGTATTAAGAGTTGGGCATTGTTATGCAAATAATCCTCACATCCAACAGATTTCCTGCACTGTTCGCTGTTTCACAGTATGGCTAATGCAGACATCAAAGTCACCTAGACAGGGTAATAACAGAGAGGTTACATGTTTTCTAAATTGTGCTTGATGTGTGAATCAGATGAAATAATTGATTTTCCTAAGCGGGCAGTAGAAAGATACTGCTGTACTGACTGTCTGGATTTCACAGATAACATCAGTAAACACACCGCATTCTGTTCTGATCTCAGAATGAGTTTAGCTCTTCTAGGCTTTGGCCAGGCACACAGGGAATCTGTGCCCACACGACTCCACAGAAATCTCGGCAGATTTTTGGCTGGATCTATTGGGTTATTCAGTAGATATGAATACACACATTAAAATTCATTTTCAACATTTTGGTGGGGCTTAAATAAAAAAGAAAGAAAGAAAGAAAGAAAGAAAGAAAGAAAGAAAGAAAGAAAGAAAGAAAGATAATATTTTCTGCCAAAAATATTTATGAGACAAAAATTCATATCTCATTTTTTTTTTTACATTACTTTACATTACATTTACTGTTTTGTCATTACTTAACACCACACTACATTTTTGAGTAATAAATAAAGTTGGTGTTTTTTGGGTTTTTTTGGCTCAGTATCTTCACAAATGTATGAGACCAACATAAATACAATTTTTACATTTTTTAAGACCACATACTACAACTACATGTTCATATCTTCCCTTATCATCTCTTACATTCTTATTTGTCCTTAACACTAATGCTCAAATCTTCTTAGCACATTTTGCCAAATGTATTAAATAAAGTGCACAAAACTGCAGATTTCATCCTAAATTTACTACATAAAATAATTACAACAATAATAAAAAAATAAATAAAAAAAACACACACTTAAAATTATTTTGCACTGATAAGCATGGATACTACATGTCAGTATCTATACCAATCAGTGTAGAGTATCATTTTTTGTCCAAGACCAGTTACCAAACCAACAATGGTGATAATAATGGTACAAGCCTAAAACACAAAGACCGTAAAGTGTTGTGGCTACTTTGCATATTGAACTGATAAAATTGGTGGTGGTGG